CAGCACTGGAGGGGATAGTGAGAGATCCGGCCGATGTGCTGCAGATATCTGTGCAGAGCTCTTAATAGAAACTTGCTGAGTGAAGATGAGAGAAAATGTAATTAGTGAGACAGAAAGCGCTGCTGTTTTCTTAGACCTGGGAGCGAGGAGTCACACTTTGCAGCTGTAATTGGTTAATCTGATGGCAGCGCCAGGGGAAGAGAGCAAGTCTTGTGCTCCCTGGCCTGTAACACACTCTAATTTTGGCCCTTCAGTGCAAGACATCTCCCACCATTTACCCCATCATCATACTCGCTCGTTTCTAAAAGTCACGGGGGCCAAAAAAAGCAATTAAAAGTTTTAATTTCCTGCTCCCTGGTGTCAAGATGAGTTCAGTGTTTCGAAATAAGCTAAGAGAACAGTAGAGATCTCAAACTCTGGGCTAATACAGTGTCCTAACCAAGCGTGACGTGACAAGATTTCAGTGACAAGTCATTTTATTGTAATAATGTGTGAAGCAACCAAATCACTGCCAATCAGTGTGTTTCCTGGTGAAATGTGACACATTTGTTATCTTTTATCCAATTATTCTCAGGTTCCATAGCAGTTTCCCTTAATCCATGATGGCATTAATATACATTAGTAAATGTATTCATAGAATGATATAATATATGATAAAATCTATTATTTTTCAGTAGGCATCTAGTATTTATTAGTATTCACTATATATTACATATATATCATTTTATATATATGTATATATATATATATGTGTGTGTGTGTGTGTGTGTGATTTTTGTATATGTTTCATGTAGGTTATACAGCACAAATATGAAGAAAATACAATAGTAAAATATCTATTATAATATAGTAAACATTTTTTCTTACAGCATGGAGAGGAGGAGAAATATGAATTGCTGCACGTTTTGGAATTCACAAGGTAAATATTTGCAGCACAAGTAGATTTTTATTTCATGTTTTCTTTTCTATTTTCATTGTCATTTGTTCAGCTCTGCCCATTCTTTTTGCTGGAGAGAAAACAAAAACAACTTGATGGTTTTGCTGTATTACAGCAACCATATTTACTCATAGTGGTGAAGATGATGATGATGATGATGATGTCAGTGATTATGGTAGTAATGATGATGGATGATGGTGCTGTTCTGTGTTCTCCCTTCCCCCACCCAACAGCACCAGGAAGAGGATGTCAGTCATCATGCGCACTCCATCAGGAAAGATCCGCCTTTATTGCAAAGGAGCTGTGAGTATCTGTCTGTTGCTATGGAAACTGAGCCATCAGACACTTGCAACAAGACATGTAAAACTAAACTAATATTACATGTAAAACTAAATTTATTTATTATAAATTGAATACAGTCATGAATATGATGAATGATAATTATATCTATAATGAAATTATTTTTACATCAATTTCTATATCAGTCATTTTGGCCACGTTGTACAGTAATCTTGAGTAATCTGAGAGTGTGTGTGTCTGCATATACTGTAATAATTGTTATTGTATGTAATATAAGCTGGAAGCGCTCTTTAGTGCTCAGACAGAGAGTGATGGGAAAGATGTTTTTCCTCCCACATCACATCCCAGCTGTTGTGTAATGCATTAAAACGTGATGAAATATTAACATGTTACTATAAATGTGTTCATGAAGGAAAGAAAGAATGTAGAATTAGACATATGTCATGACTCCGTGCTGACTTCATGGATCACACAAAATGCAGAGTAGCAAAATTAAGCCCCATGTTTTTTGTCTCCCAGGACACAGTGATCTATGAGCGATTAACAGACAGCTCCAGATACAAGGACATCACCCTGAAACACCTGGAACAGTTTGCCACAGAGGGTGAGAGACACACACACCTGCTAAGTATCTGCTGTCTCACTTCTGTTCATCCGTAATCAAATGTTAGTCTGTTCTGCACCCACAATCCAATCAAATCACTGTAGGTGTTGATGATGGTTGCCAGATCCGCTCATAGAGAGAATGAGAACTGAGTATTAGGAGAGACTGATGTGAAATGTGTGTGCTTGAATGGACTGGCATACTACAGTACTTCGCTCTCTTGTGAGGATGACGCCCCCTGGTGGAAGAACTGAGATATATCAGCCTAACAGGACCCTCAAGCAATCAGTTGCTTTGTCTTTTAAACATCCTGCATGAATAATTAATGTTGAGCAGAGATCATCCACTCAGCTTTATTAGCATCAGTCTAAAAACAGATGATGGCTTTCTTCTTGAGGAAGATTAGAAGAAAGGGATTTTTTGAGGAAGGCAACGTGTTGAGAATTAGCATATCTAAGAGAAGCTTGTGTATTCATTTTTGCGCATTTTTGCAGGACTCCGCACATTGTGTTTTGCTGTGGTGGACATCTCAGAGTCATCCTATCAGCAGTGGCTGGAGGTTCATCATCGTGCTTCGACGTCGCTCCAAAACAGGGCACTCAAGATGGAAGAAAGCTATGAACTAATTGAAAAGGTGAGGTATCCAAATAGCTTTTCCAGGGTGCACAGATGAGGTGGTCTACATCCAAAGATCACAGAACCTTCCAGAACAGCATATGTTCTCCTTGCTGCACCAAAATTAAGACCCAGAGTAATTCTTGTTTATTATATTGCTGTACAGAGATATACATATGTTTTTACAAAAACAAGAAGTACCACAAGGTATCATGGTGTTACCATCGACAGTATCATGTGACTCTGAAGACAGGAGTAATGGCTGCTGAAAATTCAGCTTTGCCATCACAAGACTAAATTACAAAAAACTACAAGAAAAAAATGACAAGAAAACTTTTTTTGGAAATGTAATAATATTTCACAATATTATTTAGCATCATGGGTCTCAAGGAGCAAAAGAGACTTTCAAAAAGCATAGAAAAATCTCACCAACCCCAGACTTTTGAATGGTAATGCATATACCTTCATGAATTCAGTACCATGGTATTACCACAATTGTCCTCCTACAAGCAATAGTCCTTTATCATAGTTATTAAAATCAGTAACAAAGTCCATGTTATGTTAAGTTGGACTTCTCATCCTCAAATTTCATAAGGTAATTTGTCTTCATAAGAGGGACGGTGTGAGGAAACGTCAACACAGCCATATTTCACAAATGATGTGCTTCTGAGAGCACTCGGGATTTTGAGGACAGTCTGCAGGATACACAGCAGTCCCTCTTCTCCTGTAGGAAGTTTAGTTTGGCGAGTTACAGAACAGCTCCATGGCTTCGGTTTGATCAATGAGGGCTGGGTTTTCTCTGCGCACATGGCATCCAAAAAAGTATAAACGATTAGGCTCAAACCACGAAGAAAGCACAGTGGTGGACCTGTGGAAAGCTGGGCTCTGGAAGTGTTCGTCAAACATGGCCGACCACCATCGTTAATCACTGGCTGAAGCAGCCCTGCCAGCTTTTCTGAGAAAATGGATCTAATCAATCATTTCACATAAAAGCTGCTGGTTTGACGGATGTAATTACAACACTCCTTCAGCAGGGGGCAACGGTGGCACCTGATGTTCCAGCAAGCTCTTATAATGTATCTGCGCAGGAATAGCAGTTAAACTTCTGAAATATCTCATTTCTGGTCTGAGCATAATCAGAAATGATTTACGTGAATGAAGTAATACTTGTTATTAAGGTAATAGGTAAAACATTAGGTAAAAAAAAAAGAAACTAAAAACATTGCTTTATAGGGCACATGAAATGTTAAAAGGAAAACTCTTTATTAATAGATGATTGGATTACATGCTCGCTGCAAAATAAAAATAAAAAAATTTCATTAATTTGGTAAGATTGGGTTTAATGTTTTTAAGTAAGTTTCTTATGCTCACTAAGCTTGCATTTATTTGATCAAAATACAGTAAAAACAATACTATTGTTAAATATTATTACAATTTTAGTAACTTTAAACATATATTAAACAACTGTTTTCTATTTTAATATATATTTTTATTTAATATTCCTGTTATGGCACATGATCCTTCAAAAATCATTCTAATATGCTGATTTGCTGCTCAAGAAACATGTCTTATTATTGTCAGTGTTGAAAACAGTTGTGCTCATTTTTAATATTTTTTGTGGAAACCGTGATACATTTTTTCTAGATTTCTTTGATGAAAAGATAATTCAAATGAACCGCATTAATTCAAAAGCATTTTGCATAACATTCTAAAGGTCTTTCACTTTTTTCAATTTAATCCATCCTTGCTGAATAAAAGTAATAAAATAATAATATTAATAAAAACAAATCTTACAGACCCCAAACCTTTGATCTGTAGTGTATGTACCTTGAATTCACATCTATAATAAAATTATTTGAAAGTTGTTGGAGGGTATTGAACTAACAATCATTTTGTTTTTGAGTATAACTAAGCAGACAGAATCCTGTAGACAAGTTAGTAGAGTTTATTGGTTGTTATTCCCAAAGTTCTGCACTTGCCTTGCTCCTTAAATCATTAATTAATCAATTATTCTGATTCATGTGATGTTTTCAACTACCAAAAAGAGATTTTGCAGATTTGTGCCCTTAAAAGAAAAAAAAAATAGAGCATATTAAGTAACGGTTGTATCACATCCGCGCCCCTGCTCACCACATTACCGATCATCTTACAGGAAGCCATTTGCTCTCACTCGCTCTCTTTTTCTTTCTCTTTTTTTCTCTCTTTGGTGCAGCTGACTTTCCTCTACGGGGTCCTGTCAAAATCCTGTCCGCTCCAAATAGGATCATGGTTGGTCAAAGGGCCAGGGGCTTCCTGAGAAAAACACATTAACAGTCCACACGCTCTCTCTTTCTCTCTCTGTCTTATCTCTCTTGCTCATACACACATAACTGAGTCTTTGTAATCCAAGAATGAGATGATTTTTCTCAAATGCCCCTCTGGTCCTGAATTAGCATCTAACTGTAAGCGTAGTCAACTGACTGTAGGAAAATGCCAGCAAGAATTACTAATGCAGCTCCGCGCACTTATTTCCCGCTTTTGTTTAGTTTCAGGTATCACTTCACAGCCTTTCTCAACTCACTGTTTGAAATATAAATGAACAATTTCATGCTCATATGTGTTGATTTGTGAAAAGTAGCTGTAAAGAAAGGAATACTGTAAAATCAGCTGGTCATTATCCCAAAATAAACCCCAGCAGGGAGATACAAGATCCTGATCACCGCGTCTGGGCTTATTTATTAATAATGCCGATAGCGGATTATACATTATATCTTTCTTTAATCTGCTTACAAACAGGAATCACTTGGGAAAAGACTGTCCTCATTTATCAGTGCTTTCTAATTGATTGATTGATTTATTTTTATTATTAATAATATATTTTTTGTCTGTTTCTCTGCAGAACTTGCAGTTGCTGGGGGCCACAGCGATTGAAGACAAACTTCAAGACAAAGTACCTGAAACCATCGAGACCCTCATGAAAGCCGACATTAAGATCTGGATCCTGACTGGAGACAAACAGGAGACCGCCATCAACATAGGTGAGAGTTAAACCTATAAAGTTTGTTTGTATGAACATACACCTTGATTGACAGTCGAGACCAGACAGGAAATGATGTGGAGATTAAGGGGAAGTGGACAGCTTCATTTTTCTAGTTTTAGTTCTATTTAGCTCTTACAGATGAGATGCATTAGGTTTTTTTCCTGATATATTGACACTAACCAGTAAGAATTTCTCTGGCTAATTTAAATGATCAAAAATATACACAATCCTTCCTCAGACCTCTCTCGCTCTTTCACTCAAACGAACACAGCTCTTCCTGACCGGCTGTCGCACAGGTAAAAGGTGTTTGGTTTCTTTCCTCATCCAAAAGCTGATGTAATGCACATGTCCTCGACCTGCTCGACTCTAATCTGTCCCTGCAACCACCACCAGCTCTCAAAACAGACCGTGGCCCCCATTTCCCTGTGATGTGGCATCTCGTATTAGTCTCACAGCTACACGGCTACCAATGTGGCTTTCGAACAGGCCTCATGTTAAATTCTACGGTCAGAAAAACAGATCCTAACAGAGCACAGTCTGTGACCACCTACCAACACTGATCCTGAATCAGCCCATTGTGCCCAGCGGCCAGCTGTGCCGCGGCTTGAAAACGCACACGCTCCGAGAGGAAGGGATTTTTACTGGACCTCCGCTTGGCTGGCATGTACTCTAAAATAAAGACACCCATGTCTGTGTTTACTTTGTATTTTTTGCTTTTTGTAATTCATCATTTGGAGAGTTGGAGGATGACAAGAGACAAGAGTCTTCCAGCTAGTATAGGTTCCCAGAATCCTTTGCCAGTATGGTTAAAAGGTGTCTGAGGTGATATGACCAGCTGTTTTTAAACTTATTTTTCTATCTAAAATATAAAGACAGTACAAGGAAAAAATAAGTATTTAATGAGACACATATTTAAATTTCTTAAATATTTAAATATTAAAATGTGATATATACAATGTAGTATGTAGACAGCAAAATTGAATAATTGATTCTGAACTTAATTGACTTTAACATTATCATCGTACTTAATAAAATTGTTTAAATATCTGGGAAGCATTAACCTTTTATTAAGGTGATATGTATCTTAATAAAAGGTTCATGCTTTTTTTTAATTGATCACAAATTTTAAAAAAAAATCTATTAAATGAAGTTTCATTTAATGTATGCACTTTACCAGCCTTAAAAATACAATTTAATAATATATTTATTATTACTATACTATATTTCTTAAGGACCTCTGGATTAGACAGCACATCACTATGCATTTCTTAAGTTGAAGTAAAGTAAATTTTTACATTTGCACTTGCACTCTACAAAAACATGAAAAACTATCAGAAGTGAAGTGAACCCCAGGACTGTGAAGTCAAGCGCAGTTTAATCTTGGGTTAGCGGGCACTTAGAGCTGTTTGGCCGCCACTTGCACATAGTACATGAAACCGCTCCAGTTCTTCTATCCACACTAGCCCTCTGACGGCCTTATTAATGTATCAGACCATTAAGCAGAGAGTTGGAGCGAGGACAGGCGAGCTATCCACACTGCGCTGCTACCGCTGAGCTGTTACTCCTGGCCACTGGGTGCCACTGTAAAGCCTCAGAGATTAAAGCCCAAACAAACAGCATGCGGCCAACGCAAACAACTCAACATGCCCTCTTCTAACCCACAGCCACTGCCAACAGACCGAATGAAAACCCACCCTGCAGTAGCACGGAGCCAATGCAACCGCTGAGTGTAACCTCAATGCCTCCTTTCCAGATTCATACAGAATTATGCTGCGTCATGCAGGTGTCTCAATGTAAATCTATCGTTTCTACCAAGGGTGTTTTAGTTTAACCATGTTGAAGAGGGATGAGGTGACGTTACTGCCAGTGGTCAGAATGAAGCTGCGGAAATACGTCAAGGTTTGACACTTGCTGTCAGGAAACCAAATCTGTTTTCCACACAGACAGGAAATTTTGGTGAATATGCAAGTTTGAAATCAACAGAAATGCTTTAAACAGGAATGGCAGGACAGGACACCGGCACCCAAATACATACGCATTCATGCTCTTATTGAATTTGGTCACAGTCACATTTCCTTAAGGGTGAAGTGTGTCATCTTGTTTTTTTTTTCTGTTAAAGTGTGTAAAGTTGGTTACAAGGCTACTATTCACAAGTTCCCGATTGGTCCTACTACTGGCTCGGTCAAGTGCTTGAATTTGTGACCTTAGGGTTTAGGAAACCTGTTTTGGAAATGATTATTTTTGCAGTATTGTACAGTGATTCTATTGGCATAGAACAATAAGCTATACATTAAATAGTGTAAATTATTATCATCCTTTTATACTAACTATTGTTATTGGATCTAATGAGATTAATAAATCAAAAGTAGGTCAGTACACTTGAATCAAAACGCAATATAGACTAGTGACTGTGAATATTAAGCCGCAAAAAGACCATTTATTTAGCAGAAAATGTAACACAACACAGTATTTCTGGGAAAACCAATAAATAAATAAAATACCAAAAGCTTTGTTTTATGAAATCAATTAATTAGAGATACTTTTGATTATTAAAATCTAATGAAACCATTCAAATGGAATCCAGAAAAGTAATGGAAAACAACATTTGGTAAAAATAAAGAGGGGGAAAAACATTTTATAAGGCCTTAATGTAATTTTTGTTAAACTTTTAATAAATTGCTGTTAAATTGTGTAAGTTTCATGATTTCAATTAATTAGACATGTTTTTTATTAATAACATTTTATATAACCATTAAAATGGAGTCTGGAAAAATTAAAATGGAAAAAAATGAAATCCAGAAAAATTAAAACAGAAAAAAATGGAATTTGGAAAAAAAATACAACGGCCCTATATATATATATATATATATATATATATATAAAACCGGTATAATGTATGTTTTACAGGTATAATGCAAGTCCATAAAAGCACCAACAATTATAGATGTTTGAAATATTGTTGCTAGGATAAATATAGCAGGTCTATCTGATACATAATTACTGTAATTTAATATAACTACTGCTTTTGGGCAATTCTTGTCCTTTACAGTAACTTTTATTTAAAACTAGTGTCCCATTGATTCTTTCCAGCACACACACACACACACAAACTGTTCCCCACGGACATCACTCCTCAAATACTGAGGTGTTGGTAACCTATTAAACAGCAAATATGTTGTTTAGACACATCCTGATGGCTGATGGGATGTCTTGCTTTTTTTATCGGGTTGAGAGAGCCTGCTGTCAAGCTTCCAGTTGTGATTTCATACGAATAGTGGAAAGGCACATTAAAACCAATGCGGCGTGGGAGTTTTAAACTCAGGTCTGCTGTAAACTTTAATCACAAAATGTGCTTTTCACTCCTCAATTAGTCATTTCTTTCATCCGTTGCTGTGGTTACACGTCGCATATCTTTGTAATGTTGATCTATTGCTGAAATACTAAGTTGCGGCAAACCATTTGTCATTTGTTCAAATGCCAAGCAAGGCGTTTTTTCCACACAAACATACCATATGTTTTAGGCTTAATAGTGAGAGGTATAAGCAATGAGTTTTCTTTTTTCTTTTCTCTTTTTTTCCTGAAGGACACTCCTGCAAACTGCTTACGAAGAACATGGGCCTGCTGGTGATAAACGAGGACACCCTGGATGTGAGTACTGAGACGGAGGTGTATGTTTATTTGAAAAAACAGTTACATGTCACCATTTGTAATGCAAGCTCAGAGAAGAGATGAAAAGACACGACAGCTGACGGATCGCTTCAGCCCCCCGGTACATGAAAACATGTGACATAATTCCCAATGTGACTCTCTTCCAGAACAGTTATAGATTTTGTTTTGGGTTTTCATCCAAACCATTCCCCTCCGGTTTCTGTCTCCTATTTCTCTGAACGAAAAGAATAAAGTGACACAGTGGGGCTCAAAAAAATGTTGTGTTTTTTATGATTAAACTATTTTATTATTATTATTATTATTATTAAATATTTATTGTTTTGTTATACTACTGTTCAAAAGTTAGGTTCAGTAACTTTTTTTTTTAGAAATTGATTATTTTATTTGGTAAGAACGGATTAAATTGATCACATATGACGGTAAAGAATGCTGAAAAACATTCTCACAGTTTCCACAACAATATTAACCAACATGACAATGACAAATTACAAAATTGGTTTCTCAATGATTATATAGAAAATGGCAAACATCAGGTGATCATAATCAATCCTCAGACTCCACTTCAACATCTGAAACAAATTAATGGGAACGATAACACATCAGGCAAAAATGCTGTTAATAAACATTGTATCCACAATTTAAAAAAGAAAAAAAAGTTGCTGCAAATTCAGTCAAGTTCCATTGCTATCAAAAGAATAAAAATACTTTTTTAAATACATGTATCATTTTAAAAAGTTATTTTAAATTGTAATAAGATTTTATAATATTTTTAGTTAAACAAATGCCGCCTTAGTAAACATAACAGACTTTTAAAAACATTAAAAATCCTTCCAACCACAAACCTTTAAAAGCTAGTGTGTGTATATATAAATAAATAAAAACGAAAGGAAGTAAAATATGAATTAAAATATTAACATTTATATTATTTAGTATTGGATTTGTCCCCCTTTTGCTTTAATATTCCAGCATGAATTGAGATGATCCAAAGAGTATCTTGATCTTCAATGGAAGCAGGAACATCAGACCATCTGTACAAAGGAGTAACATGATTTTTTTTTTTTTTTGGCCTAGAAATAGTGAAGAATCTTTCAAATTGATTTTACATCATACCGTTTCCTTGTTTTGAAATGTTCAACTTTCTGAAACATTGTTTATTTCCAGGTTTAAATCATGTATTTTGAAATGTGGTCTCAGACTTTGGGATCCTACTGTATATGTTGGTCAAATGGAGCTTATAGGAAAGAGAGGATGTGGTTGCACCGCATGGAGCCGTTTAAAAGACGGGAAGGGGTCGTGGACTTAAAATGGGTTTAGGACCCTCTTTCATATACACACACACACATGCACAAGGTACAGGCCAATAACTCCCTGATGGGAGAATCTATTCTGTTGACGATGAAACCGAAAGCCATCCGCTTTCAAAGAAGGAAACCATTTGAAACGCACACACACACAGCCTACAGGTCAGCTGGCCCCTGCAGGGAGGGTCTTGTCTGTTGTCTGTGGAAGTTAAGGGATCTAGAAACCATTTTGCGCAGCTTGTGCACATGCAATGGAACCCCTGATCGGGTGGGGCCCGTTCCGTTGCGAGGGGGGTGGGGTTTGGGCGATGACGGACGGCTCTCAGTCTGTCAAACAGCCGTTTAGCGTGATAGATGGAGCCAAAGAAAAAGAGGAGAGAAAAGTGACGTGACATGTGGCCAAGTATGGTGACCCATACTCGGAATTAGTGCTCTGCATTTACCCATCCAAAGTGCACACACACAGCAGTGAACACACACAAACCGTGAACACACACCCGGAGCAGTGGGCAGCCATTTTATGCTGCGGCGCCCGGGGAGCAGTTGGGGGTTCGGTGCCTTGCTCAGGGGCACCTCAGTCGTGGTATTGAAGGTGGGAGAGAGCGCTGTACATTCACTCCCCCCACCTACAATCCCTGCCGGTACGAGACTCGAACCCACAACCTTTGGGTTATGAGTCCGACTCTCTAACCATTAGGCCACGACTTCCCCAAATAAGGGGAAATAAGAGGAGTGTTCCATAAAGCAGACGGCCGCCATTTGAAATGTCAGCGTCTGGTCTCCCATGCATATGCACATGCTTATACAACACGAGAAAAGAAAACAAGGAGGAATTCTCGGAGCGCTCGGAGGTCCGGCAGTGGTGGGATTTGCCGTGCTCTCACATTGCAGGAGAAAACACTGGAACAGTGCGCCTCCCTTCCCCTCGGTCCTTCTCTTGTTTTTTGAGTTTAACACATTCAGCGTATTAAGGAAAACAAGATGGATGAAGGAGCCCACTCATCCGGCCCAGAGAGAGGGGTTGAGGTCTTCACCGGACGTCTGAGGGAGTTTCATTATCTCAGTGGAGGAAAATGCAAGGCACTGTGGGACGGGTCAAAGAACAGTAACTCAATAATCACATTAAATATGCGGCGGACCGCAGTGCCTTCTGCTGCTCGCAAATGAAAAAGAGCTATAGTGTGCAGATAAGCCGAGAGAATGGAGAGATTGTGGAAGAGGAGGAAAGAAATGGGGCCAAAAATAGAGCTACTACAAAGAACAGAGCTCACTGTCTTTTAATTTAATTTCATGTAAAGGAACCGTTTTCTAGACTATGTAGCATTTATTTGATGTTTTTCCTCCCTTGAGGTCTATTTTATAATGTTAGTGAGTTTCATGAACAAATACAGTTTGTAATTTAGTTTCTTGATCATTTTTCCTCTACAAGTGCGTTCATGCTGACAGCATTTTAATTGTTGATATTGCTTACTATTGGTTACTAGTAGACAGGCCCACACAGAATTTGTGCTTGCACAACTAGAATGCCATAGGTTGAAAGCAATATTTTTCTGTTTAGTCATTATCATATTTTTCTTTAGTTCTTGGTAAAAGTTGTTTTTTTTCTGTGTAATTTTAATTTCAAATTTAAAAAATGTTTTTCTCAACATTAAAAAAATGTGTTCTCAGTGATTTTGTTAACATAACTAAAGTTGCTCTTGAGATCTTCATTTTCATTTTTCTCAAGATACTCAAATTTTCTTTTTTTTTCAAGAGCACAAGAAAATTCAGTTGAAATAAAAAAAAAAAAAAAAAACTTTATACTTTTGAAGTCTCCGATTTCAGATTCTTACCATTTTATGACAGTATTCAAACAATAAATGCTGTTTTGGCACTGTTTTATGTGGAGAGAGATCACTGTAGCGGCTCAGTTCAAGAGAAGTGGCAACGCAAAGTGCATGTGAACTGATGATTTCCTCCTCTTTAATATCCATTTCAGCATGAAATAAATATGAATAAACATTCGGAGGTATGTTAAAAGAAAGATTGCAACTTACCAAAATCCATATCCTGTCTCATGTAATCGCTTAATTAGTGTTTCAACCGTGCAAAGATGTCAATATAACAGCTTGTAAACAATGTCACGTAATGTCACATTTACTCCAGAAAAAACATATTCGGTGAGCATAAACTCGTTAGTCAGCTAGAGAAATTAACTCTAGAGATGAGCATTTTGCTAGATGTATGCACCATATAACATATTCATTATAATGAACGACGCCACTGTTATATACTGTTATAATACTGTTCTTCAATATTTATTTTATTCTTAAATCCGTCAAGTTGTTATGACAGCCACCATTTAATGTTTATATTTCAAAAAATGGATTGGAGTAGAAATTTAATTAGGCAGTGTAATTGTGACTTTATTATTATAAATCTTTGAGTGTAATTTAAGCATTTGTATACAAATCGATTAATTTTAACCTTCAATATTATAGTAATGTAGTATCAACTGACTCTCATTTATATTTTCCAGCATTAGTTGAGAGATTTTTTTTTCTTTGAGAACATTTGGCATGTATTGTACCTGATATGTTTCCAAAATAATCGATATTGAATCGAATCGAATTGAATCGAAAGCTTGTGAGTCAGAATCAAATTGAATCATGAAATTTGTATCAAAACCCATCTAATATGCAAAGCCATAACTGTGATTCCTCGATTCTCAGTTTCTGCCATTTGTATTTCTTTGATCTGTTACTGTTTTTCCTATATACTGTAAGTTGCATGAAAAGAGTTGACCAACAATTGGGATTCTTGTTTGAAATAACAACCATATTCTCTCTTTCTTTCATAGCCAGTTGATTCTGTCAGGCAGTAGTGTGCAACTGAGTGTCCATCTAGGCACATTTATATACATTTGTGAGTGTATGTATGCACTTGCAGTCTTCTATCTGTCATTACTTCTTTGCATGACACATGTAACCCGGCCTTTTTTCCTTCCGTTTCTTGTTTATAATGTCCGATATCACATGCTTGAGTCCAGGCATCTCAGTAAAAGGATTTCCAAAGCTCCTAAATCAGCCGTTATCTGCTGGATCTTGGCCGTGTGTGGAAGCGCTGATGTACTGTATATCCCACTGATGCTTTCTGCCCACTTGCAAAGCAAACACTCTTAAGTCATCACGGTCCGGTTTGCTCGCACAACCATAACACAGAGGCCTGTTTGGACGACTGAGAGTGTTTAAGCCGAGCTTCCAAAGTGGAAGACTGGGAAATGGTGATGACTTGTGAGGAAATGGAGACATTGTCCTTTCATTAGTCTTCATAAGCGGTCTTATCATCTGATCTTATACTGTCTGTGGCAGACTTGTGTATTATATACACCCATTACACGCGAGGACACCTACAGAATGGACGCCACATATTAGAGAAGCTCTTACAGCTGCACTTCTCTCTCTTTCTCTGAAACCTGAGGCTTCTCTCTCTAAACCCATGGATTCTCTCTCTAAATATTTCCTTTGAGCTTGGGTTTCAGAGTCTGTTATGCCAGGAGAATGTTGGTTATTCCCTGAGGTGTAATCTCACTACCCTTAGGCATCTCCCTTCCTCAACACACACACATACACACACATTCAGTCTCAGATTTAGTGGTGATCATCAGCATAGATCTCCATTGGAGCTTTTCGGTGTAAGACCGCTATAATGATTATAATGTGCCATGTAACTTTTTATTTGTTCTTTTGGGGGGTTTTATTGTCCTTTTTTTTTGTCGTTTGTCTTTCATTTTGTCCTGTCATGTATCGGCTGATATAAGGTTCCTGTCACGTATCAGATGATATAGATCATTAGCATTGGACCAATTTAAAAATGGTAGCAATTTGTTTTTGACAAATATTTAATTGTTTAAAATAAGCTGTATTTATTTAGTGTTTATTTAAAAGCAACAGTGTCTCCATGTTTCATTAATATTGCTGGTTTTTGTTTCAATGATAATACTAATAACTTATTTTTTTATATAATTATTAAAACACTAAAAACAGCGATAACGATGAATTAATATTTAAAAGAACATTATATATCACTTTTTATTCTTATTACATAGGATAAGTTATTATATTATATTATATCAGCTTAATGGTATTGGTCAGATGTTTGGCAAATTTTTAATATGTCTGTCATTAAGCAAGAAGTGATGTTATTTATATAGCTAGGTTTAAAAAAAATGTCAACAGTTTAATTAATGTTAACACGCTTGTTTAGAAAGATTCTCTTCAGCATTTTTTTCTCCACTATGAGAGTAGTTGACCTAAAAGAGAAATCTAACCGTAAAAGGCCCTAACTCTGACCATTCTGCTCTATTTTTGAGACATTTTGAATACTTTGGAATTCTTCAGCGTTCGATCCTGTCTGCTCTGCATAAACTTGCTGTTATTAGTCATTATTTCACACCTTGGATACAGAAGGGCTTGTTTGTGTCATGGTCTTCACAATGTTGGAATGTGAAGCCAAAAACATGCTGGACAGCTGTGGGACATGAGCTGCTGATAGAGACATGCACTGGTTTGTTTACCCACAATGCTCAGGGATTTAAAGCTATGAAGACCAGCTTCTTTGAGGAATTTCTGTGATGATTAGTAGTGGAGGTAGTGGAGACCACTGACTCTCTTTCTTCTGATTTTTTTAGTAGTTGTTTGCAGAACTATGAGCTAGTGTGTGGTGTTTCCTCTACTACCAGGATTTGGATCATTTTATGAGCAGGAGCTGTGTGATTTTATAGGAAATTTTTATGGAGTGCAGCAACATTCCTAATCCAAACACAGAAGCATCCTCCCACACATCCCAAATCCTTACAATAACAGCCTCTTACTACAAGGTGTATTTTCTGCTGAAAGTACAGTTTTCACCATTAAACTCAGTTTAAAACAGCATTCAGGTTAAGTCAAAGATCCCAATTTTTCTCTGGCCCAGTCAGTGTTGATTAAGGTCTTGCAGGTTTAATCAACACACAGAAATATTCCTGGCTCCCGGTTTGAGCCCATACAGCTGGGACAGAACATTCCTCTGAAATAACCCATAAACCCAGACGTATGCTCACTCCGATTGCGTGAACACAATAGAGAGGGAGAAGACTGAGGTCTGCAGCTTTGCTAGTGCTCAGGGTAAGTTCCCATGCCGTTGTGTTTCCTGGTCAGGGCCATTGAAAGGCCTTGTTCTAACAAACGAACCATCACACCCAGCTTCGGCTTTGCGCTCTCCGTAATGAAGTGTGCCATATGTATGTTCTCACTTTGATGCCCTGTGCATTGACAATAAACAGACGTAAACCCCATGTGCAAAAGTGTCTGGTGCTCTGCATGTGAAATCCTATGTTATTCTTGGGACTGATTGCATTGGCATTGAAGGAAAACGGGGAAATGATCCCGGTGTTCATGTGTGGTGTCTCATCAGACGTCTGTGAACAGTTTTATGATTTATTGCATTACAAATCCCTATCATGATGAATTCAGTCTTTTGAGTTTAGCGTTCCTCAGAGAAATATTTACATACCAGCTGATTTAGTTAGTTACACAACTGTAATAATGTCATTTTGTATGAAATGTTTATCAATATCTTATGTTATTCTATACATGTTTGTGTGCAGGCTACCAGGGAGACACTCAGCCATCACTGCAGCATGCTGGGAGATGCTCTGCACAAGGAGAACGACTTCGCTCTCATCATAGATGGAAAGACACTGAAGTATGCCCTCACTTTCGGGGCACGCCAGTATTTCCTGGACTTGGCACTTTCCTGCAAGGCTGTGATATGCTGCAGGTATGTAACTATACCTGGGGAATTTGCTGAAAATCAGCAAGAATAACTTAATAACAATAACATAAACCCTTACAAAGTATTACAACAAAGATTCACTGTACCAGGGTTTTTAAAAACAAAAGTGCCACAAGGGGGCACTTGAAAGTAAATATTATCCAGATAACATTTCAGTTTATTTTGGCTGTAGTACAAAGACAACTAAAAGTTAATAATTTAATTTGGGAGACAAAAAGTTTTTTTTTTTAATGGTTAATTTTCACACACAATCCAAATGGGTCTGTCAGCATGAAAATATTAAGCTGAAACTTTATGAAGAGAGACCATCACAAGGGAATCATCATATTTGTTGGTCTTTGCCATCAAAAAGTAAAAAAAAACACAATAATTTAAAGAAATTTAACTATTGCTAAAAATTAGCGATGGACGATATGACCAAAATTTTATATCACAATATAAGTTATTTTATTTCACGGTACGATATGTATCACAATATAGTTATTTATAGTTATACTGTAATATCGAAGTTCACCAAAGACAAGTAAACAGTCAGCGATTAAATAAGAATAAGAAACTAATTACAATTAGACTGCTGTCACTTTAAGAGCTGCCCAGATCCAATATACTGTTACACGTGTTTTCTTTAAAAGATTTTTTTTAACCATTCAAGGCCAATAAAGCGGCAAAAATAACTCCGTTCAATACTCCCGCGCTCTATGAGCACTGTCTTCTCATGCGCGCGCCTCTCTGACAACACTCAGAAACAGTGCGCGCATATAGCGAAATGTTATTTCGCTGCTGTTTGCATTTCAGCAGCTTAAAATCACTTGTTTTTAAACCGCAATGCTTAAAAATGTGTGCAAACAATACGTTTTCTTGACCACGTAGCACTGCAACGTCACATGACCGTGTAACCGCGATAGAGACGATAGTCAAAAATCTCTACTAGTTGACAAATATCTACCGGTTAATAATGTCTACCAATATATCGCACACCCCTACTACAAATGAAAGAAGTCTCTTTTTTTTATTATTACAAATTTTCACTGTAATCGGATGCAGTTTTAAATTTATTTCCGTTGTTAAACCAAAGTACACAGGAAGTTGTACTGTCATGCTCTGCTTAAATGTTTACTGTTTCACAGGTGGATGTAAATATGTTTTTGCAGGTTAATAACCCTTTGCCCTCCAGGGAACTGACGCCATCATTGGACATTTTTCTGCACTTACAAAAACATCAAGTGACTGGCAGACAATTACAGGGAAATGCCGCTGTGCTGTTTAAAGAACAAATTACCTTCCCTTTAGGTCGCAACCTTCCCAATAAACATAATTATACTAGCTCTCAAAGCAGTAATTTACTAATGAGTGTTATTTTTTTATAATAGTAGATTGTAGTCAGAATGTCTGTCAGTTATACACAAAGTTAAACTGTGTGTTAGCAGACTAGTATGAAGCGTTTAAAAAAAATGCTACACAGCGAAAGAAACATATGAGGAACCAATTGAGCGTGACAAGGAACTGCCAAAAATCAGTCTCAATTTCCAGAAACAATGCACACCACAGGTGCCACAGCCATTATGCAATGCTTGATGTAATCTATCCGATCTGCCTTCGCTCACTACACACACATACGAACAGCCACATGGTGTCCTGAGGAGAGCAGATTTGTGCCTGCAGATGAGTAAATGTTAAACTGACTCTAGAGGTCTCCTGCTATATCGGCAGCAATCTCCGGTTCACTGGAGAGCCTTACATCACTCTACATTCATTGCTTACAAGATGACCTGTGAACGTTAAAACGGGGTTAAACCCCAGAGGAGCTTTTCTAGCCGAAAACGAGACCTTAATTTCATTTGCTGACACAGATGATGCAGTACTGTAATGTGCTGCAAGCTTTTGTATATGTTTTTTAAAGGTCAGGGATCCTGAGATCAGGTTTGGCTTCATCAGGAACACAAATGTGCCTGGTTTGGGCATTTATAAGGTGTGGGTTCGTCTGATTCTAAATGTTATGGGTTTCTGACGTTCGTGAAAAACCATTGAACTTTCTGTAGTAAATATATATTTGTTAGGTTTTTTTTTTTTTCAGAACTTGTGTAAAACTGGCTTGCCAGCTGCAGATGCTGCAGCGATTTGTGAGCCAGTTATTCTTTTGAGTGTTTTTTTTTTTTTAATGGATAAGTCGAACAAGTTCACAAAATGATCAGAAATAAATTGTTGAGTCGGTCTTAATCAGAGTGATATTTTTAAACCTCTATACTCTTTACTCATAATGAATTAATAGGACATATAATAACATTTACTTAGAATTTTTTTGGTCAAATTTTGCATCCTTGAATAAAAGCCTGAATAAAAGTCTATTTCAAATAAATGAGGTTCTTTTGAGCTTTCAGTTCATCAAAGAATCCTGAAAAATGTATAGTTTCCACAAAAGTAGCGCAACTGTTTTTAACATTGAAAATAAAAGGAAATGTTTCTTGAGCAGCAAATCCGCATATTAGATTGATTTCTGAAGTATCATGTGACACTGAAGACTGGATAAAGTACTGCTGAAAATTCAGCTTTGCCATTAGAGGAATGTCTTTGATTAAATTATATTTGTGTGTGTGTGCATATGTGTGTGTGTGTGTGTGTGTGTGTGTGTGTGTGTGCATATATATATAAATTGTATATATTAAATTGTAATAATATTTCACAATATTCTTATATAAATGTAGCCATGGTAAGTCTTGTTTTAAAAACATTAAGAAAAATTACTGTCCCCAAAACTGAACAGTATTTAGTTGGATGTTATTTGGTGATGAATTTGGTGAAGACACAATGATGGATAAGTTTCTAAATGTAATTAGAAACAATAGTTAAAGGTGCCAGTAATTTTAATTTGCTATTTGAGCAGTGAATTTCAGTGTGAGAGTTTGAAGTCCTCTTTTAACTTCTCTTTTTGAAGAGACAAATTCATCATGTGAAGCTGAGATGTGACCGCAGCTGTTGAGGCTGTTGGCCAAGAAATCAAATGGTTGTCAACACTAATAATTGGCAACAAGAACAATAGCCTCAGATCCCTCTATAAAGGTGCCATTGCAAATCTGCAATTATGTTGTAAATCTCTAATCTAATATAAAATGTCAGTTTCAACCGTGGAGTTTCAACAATGTTTCACATTAGAGCAGATATTACTTGTTGTCAAATTGTAATTTATTTATTTATTTTCTTTCCAGGGTTTCACCTCTGCAGAAGTCTGAGGTGGTTGAGATGGTGAAAAAACAGGTGAAAGTGATCACACTGGCCATTGGCGATGGAGCCAACGATGTGGGCATGATCCAGACCGCCCATGTGGGTGTTGGCATATCTGGCAATGAAGGACTGCAGGCTGCCAACTCGTCAGACTACTCTATTGCACAGGTGAGAAACTATCAAATTGCACATGCCTGAAGGAAGAAAGAATAAGTTAGCTAAATTGCGAGTAAATTAAATAATTAAATTTATCAATTATAATGACATAGTGAAATTTAAATTAATGAAAAATTATGATTATAATTATATAATTATAAAAATAAAATTACTCCAAATAAAATGTAATCTCTGCTTCTACACCTGAAGCACATATCAGTTCCCAATGTAAACTAACACTTTTGTCTTGTGTCACTACAGTGTGACTCCCAGAAAATAAATCTGGTTCTAGATTATGTATCTAGGGTGAAGGGTTAAAACCTGTGGCTCATAGATTCTGCAGTCTGAGATAGCGAAACAAGTCGGTCAGGTCAATTTACATAGCTTGAGTGTTCACTTACTCAAACCCCTGCTGATGGTGAAACAGGACCTGTCCCTCTTATGTAAACTTAATTAAGAAGATGTTTTGTAATTCACAGATTTTGATACAGCATAATCTTTATTGTTCGTTTAACAAAAGAAGAGCTCAAGTGTCGCCAATCGCTGTCAACATCGCTCTCCATCTCTGTCTCGGTTTCATTTCACGTTTTGTGCAGTTCGTGGAAACATCCCTCTTCACACTTGTTTTTCTATACTGCCCAGAGCCGTCTGTTGACTGGCCTCATGCATCGGATTACCCAAGAAAGCATCTTGTCTTTTCTTAAGTGCCCTCATCGTATTGTAGGTAGAGGCAGGTGGAGGTGGTAGGGAATGCAGGCAGGTTCATAGAAAGTCGCCCAAACTGCCTTCCAGCTAAACGGCTCGTATGATATGTGTTGGATCAGACGGCAAACTTCAATGTGCAGTACCGGCAGCTAGTATGCATTCATCATCCTGAACCAGTGTCAGCTTGATTTGCACTATAAGGCTTTTCACAATGCTGCTTCTCATCAACTGTTAAAGGTGTCATATGAAGTTGCTAAAAATAACATTATTTTGTGTATTTGGTGTAATGCAACGTGTTTATGCGGTTTGAGGTTCAAAAAACACATTATTTTTCACATACTGTACATTATTATTTCTCCGCCTTTCTGAAACGCGTCGATTTTTACAAAGCTCATCGGTCTGAAAAGCGAGGTGTGCTCTGATTGGCCAGCTATCCAGTGTGTTGTGATTGGCTGAATACCTCAAGCGTGTGACGGAAATGTTAAGCCCCCTACCATACTGTGTTTCCATGTGTCCCGGCGCGACGAGACAAAACCAATAAAACCCATTGTAAACGAGGCATTTGTTGCATCCAGTGGGGACATAATTACGGATTATAATGACTTATACTGTCTTTTTACGCTTTGCGTTGCATATTGCGCGCGCGTAAACATAAAACCATGTCTGCATTTGTGATCGGAGAAATGACAAACAACAAGCACTACTCTACACTGCTCAAAACTCGAGTTTGAATCATCAGTGGCAAATCCTTTAAATATATAAAAAGTTACTTACAGGCTGTGAGTCAGAAGCGCCAGACTGTCCTTGCAAAGTTGGAACTGCCCCACTTTATAGAAACATTATGTCCTCTTTTGGAAGGCCAAACAAAGTAGTTTCGCTTTCACAACATTCCTACTGACACACTACAGCAACAGATAGAAATAACTGACTTGAAACCATTTTTAGCTGGTGAAAATACTTGTGTTCTAATAATTTTGGTCACCACTGTAATTATACAATATATAATAAATATATTGGGATATGTAGAGTAATATTTATATGCATTTTATGTTAGTCTGATATACTGTCATGAAGGCCTTACAAGCTGTCAGAATTTAGTCTTTTTTTGGTTTATATAGACATATCAACAACTGCACCAAATTGCTTATTTTTGCTCAGTTTGGGCCTTTGATTTAAACTGAGGGTTTTTTCCTCCTGGAATATGAGCTCCATATTCTCCATAAAAGCCATTAAAGCTTGATGTATCAAATTTGATACTCACCAAATTTTGTTTTGTCTAAAGGTTTAATAAACTGTTCCATTCCATCAGGCTTTACAGGGCTAAAGCACATCCATATAATATATAATATTAAATGATGGTATATTAGTTATAGTTGTTAATAATTATATATTTAATTCTAAATTAGTATGTTACTGTTGGTAGCAGATCTTATGGTATGGCGTATTGTGTGTCTATATATCTGACCCATGTGCTGTCCAAGTGTGAAATTCATTTAAAGCTAATCTCACAACAGGGCTCTCACAGAATGCTGTGTTAATTTGTGTTAAACCCAGGGGTCTTTAGTTTTGTTTGGGGCCTGTTTTGAAGATGTGATTAAGTTGTTTACATGAAGGGATAAATCAGTGTGAGCTGGAATGCTGCTGTGCTTCAGCCTCACACTAGGTCCTCCACAGATCGGCAGAGGCTCCATATCCAGACTCCACTGTAGTCTGTCTGTCATCAACTCGCTCTCCTCACATCCAGAGGTCAAACAGCCCCTGAGCCCCTCAAAGGCACTCCGTACCCCTTACATCCCACCCTGCTGTTCCTGCCTTCATAGAAGTGACTGGCTGTTTGTTTTAGAGGAATGATGTTTATAACACTATGTAGCGTCTGGACCAATCAAACACACAATTTTTCATTTGATTTAACAAATCAGTTATTCATTAGATTAACAAATCGTCACAGTCCCCTCACCCAATAAACTGGATGCCAGGATGTCTGCAACGACACCAGGCCCCCCCTGGTTACCATGGCAATTATTCATATTTCCCTTATGAGCTGATTCGCTACAACTATCACATTCAGGATGCTCTTTAGGAAATAAAACATGGCATCCCTAAATCATCCTTTGATTGTGTTTACATATAACACATATTACTTGTTTACACTGTTATGGAGGGTCACTGTAAGCCACTAATCTTGAGCACCTGTACAAGTTTGGCTGTTTGCATATTGTATTTATTTCAGTGGCCATATAAATGGGTTACAGTGAAACAAACAAACTTGTGTCTGTTATGCGTTGTAACCAATAACATGTAAGGTCACGTTGGTTGTTTTTCGTTAGTTTAATTTCATAAACTGTTTAAAGAAAACAATCCATAGATTTAGCTCTGGTATCCTGATTTTGATCTGCACGTAAACACCTTCTTCAGCATTTTGGGGCTTATTTAGTGAGCAAAGCGCATCTCTGTTTACATTTTGATGTCTAAGCCAGACGAAAACACAATTTTATGAATTATCAGCGAATTGTTGTGCATGTGAAATCACTCAGTGTTCACTCTGTCCACCTAAGTGTTGTAAATCAGAAGTAGAGTTTTGGTGCTGAGCCTGTTTTTGGTGTGTAGTGTGCTGAACTCAGCAGAAAATATGGTGAAAATGTTTAGTAAATATATATATCTACTCAATCTTTTGCAATATACGTGTATGAAGCAACATAATAAATTGGAGTGAACTACTCATCGGCTGTTTGAAAAAAGACATCTGTCTGACTTGATGAAAGTTAAACACACAGTGACAGCAACACAAACAGCATTTTATATTCAGTAAATCTGACACAATCCAGATGATTTAAGCAGTTTATATCTACAGTTTGGGTGTTGGGTGAGTAGATTAAGTACCATTTAGATCTAAATCATATTTTATGACAATCAGGTTTAAACTAATTCTTAGTGGCCAGCTGATAAACCTGATAAACTTTTCATAATATAATTTATCAGTTATTAAAAGCCAAACTTAATGTGTTAACCAAAAAATTACTTTATTGTTATTGCACAGCTGCAAAAAATTTTCTCCCTTCCTCTGCTTTTCAACAAAATAAGACTAGATAAATATCTGAAATTCTCAGGAATATAGGTGAAACAGTGTTTGTCTTGTCCCTGCAACTCCAGGCTTCCTGTTGCCCAGCATGGATAAGAATGTCTCTTTATTTTCAAATCCAAAACTGCTTTCTGTGTTGGCTGGGGAACTGTAGATCTTGTGTAAACGATAGGCCTTAATGAACTTATCTCTGTCTTCCCTTCTCTCTCACAGTTCAAGTACTTGAAGAATCTTCTGTTGGTTCACGGCGCTTGGAATTACAACCGTGTTGCCAAGTGCATCCTGTATTGCTTCTACAAGAACATTGTGCTTTACATTATTGAGGTAAGAAAGTCTACGCACTGTAATGTCTTATCAAACTCAGATGACAGAGCATCAAGCCTTTTATTGCATTAGCCATTAATGTCCTTTTCACGGAGATTGAATGACCACTCTTTAATGAAGTTAACTGGCATTGCATGCATGTCTCCATCTTGCTGTAGGAATGCAGGTCTGTCGATGTAAAGGCCACAAGCCATCCATCTGTGATGGTATTTGACAGTTTCCAGGCCTGGTGCTGATAGCCGGTTCAGAGACCTGACCTGACAAGTTAAAGGGCTGCTATCAGCACCAGCTTTATCATGAGAGGCATTTGGCCGTTTTGATCTGCAGCATGCTTGGTTTAGGAGACGTTACACCTCGGGGACAAGCTTTAGGTTTCCTCAAGAGCTGAAAGAAGAGTTAGTAGCAGACTAATGGTCTGAAAGCAACATTAGGCCATTAGAAGTCTCTTTATTTAATGTCTAAGGTCTTTGAAATCCATGAAATGGACCTATGGTCACACTAGCCTTGTGCTAGTATGCTAAGGCTACAGTATAGTACAAAATGTAAAGTATGTGTCCAAATTTAAACATAATATGTTGCGTATTTCTGTAATATTTTGATTTATTCATCGCGTATTCCAGTCATATTTTGATTTATTGATGTTCGGTTCTTCCCGACAAAGACAATAAGGAGTAAAGCATACACATTAGCTTGGCACTTCAAGTTGTATCCATGCTTTATCCATTTTATCTCGCTTGTGTAAAATGTTCCCTCTGTATGCATGCTCACTGCGATTTGATACAGATCAACACCAGTATTCATGAGCTGTCCCTCTGCCCTTTTGCTCTTGTGGGCCACTTGACCCGTGAACTATTTTTCCCCTTCATCTTGATTTTGTTTTATGTGCTGTGGTAGATCTCTGAAAAGCCCCTTAGATTTCTCTCTGTTGGCATCTAGTGCTGCTGTAGATTGTGAGAACAAGGATAAGGAGATGAATCAGGTCTTCAAATGACCGTTGTTTTCTTCTGCCCTCACTAAATGTACAGCATGGCATGGTTTGTGAGTTAGTTCGGCCCATTTCATGGCCATTTCCTGTTTACATGCTTCTATGCTGTTTAGATGTGGGAAGCTGCTGTGGTCATGTTCATAAATGTAGTGAAGTCATGATGATTTTTTTCCTCTATTTTAAAATTCAAGTAGATTAAATCCGTGGGAATCTCAGAGCCCTGTAGCTGTGAGCAATAATTGCTCAATGAATTTGATATTTTAAACATTTTGGTACTAGTCATGCCGGGTGGCTTTCATGTATTTTTTTCTTTTGGGTTTTGCCAAGGGGTTGTCGTATTTTGTTCCACAATGAAAGTTCCCCTTCAACACAAACATTTCTGACTGTGATCACATTTCACACTTTCTCATCAATCAAGGAACAAGCATCTCTTTTCCTTTTTTTTTCTTATTTTGCATAAGAGGTGGCACTGGAACAACTACGTCCAGTAAATGGCCTTACCCGAACACGCCCTCCGAATATTTCTAGCCGCTTTTCCTTTTTGTCCTTTTCTCTTTAAGCTCTGCTTTTGAATCTCCAAGAGAACTGAAAGCACCCCAGCTCATAGAGGTGAATGTATCTCCTCCTCTGCCCATCTTTTGTTATGAGCGGAGAATGTATTCCCCCTCTCTGTAAGGGGCCTTTCGAATATAATAGGGCAAAGCTTTACTGTTTCCTTGCCTCACACCAAAAACACCTCTGTTTTGTAAGAGCTTGTCATTCAAGACACTTGCTTCCCAAGGGTCGGTTAAAGGGATACATTTGTCACTCTAATAGGTTTACCTTTGAGTCCGTGAAGGCTTTTCTTCAAATAATTTTTCCAGACATTAACCTCAAGGAAGTGGAATGAGGATGTTAGTGGCCGTTTTAGCCTTCTCAACGTATGGTTAGCAATGGATATGTGCACATCTTAGATTTTTTTTTACCATCCAGTGTTGTATCCTATATATCATAGTAGCTTCAGAATGGTTTCTATTGTTTCAGATTGTTTCAGATGTTTTTCCAGTTGTAACCACACAATAGCACATGATCTTCCATACATTGTCAGACAAATAAGTTTGGGTTAACCTAAACGTTTGTCATGCTGGTTTATTTAGTCTTTGGTTTGTGGTCTTGCATTCTTTCGACATGAGCAAAAATTAACCGGGGAAAAAGAACTTTTCAGAAACTTAGTTGGATTAGCTGCTTTGAGACATGCAGAAAGCCCCTCTTACAACCAAATTGCTGTGCTTGCTGTCATTATCCTGCTGGGCTCTTGAGCACTTGATTGACAGCTCTTCAGCAGGCACCAGAAGGGCTGACGGACGAGTAGCATTTCTGAAGTAATTACAAGGGCCTCATTCAGACAGAGCAGCAGGCTTAGAGAAAGACTGCAGGCCTGAGTGGAGGCCCTGGGCCCTGCAGTCTCTCTGGTGCCATCATTAAAAAACACCCAACTAGTTCTTTTGGTTCTTCTCCCACTCACACTTGCAATTCAAAGGTCCTTTTGCCTTATTGTCTTGCCAGCATTTTTTAGGTTTTCTGGATATTTGGGTTTTACAGTACTGTTTAACATTTTAGGGTTTATATATATATATATATATATATATATATATATATAACTTTTTTTTGTATTTTAATATACTTTAAAATGTAATTTATTCCTGTGATGGCAAAGCTGAATTTCAGCAGCCATTACACCAGTCTTCAGTGTCACATGATCCTTCAGAAATCATGTCAGAAAAAAAAAACATTTCTTATTGTTATCAATGTTAAAAACAGTTGTCCTGCTTAACATTTTTATAGAAATCGTGATACATTTTTTCTGGGTTCTTTGTTGAATAGAAAGTTCAGAAGAACAGCATTATGCCTTCACTGTCACTTTTGGTCAATTTAAGACATCCTTGCTCAAAAAGAGTATTATTAAAAATTAAATAATTACTGACCCCAAACTTTTGAACAGTAGTGTTCATGAAGAAAAATTGTGCAAAACGTATACTCTGTCAAAATTAACATGCTCTTACATTCAGTGATTTTGATATTGCCACTTTTAAAAGACAGATATTATGTATTTTTTGTGATTATTTTATTTCAACATTTTTAGGAGTTTTTCTCCTTTTTTTCCCCCCACAAATATATTATGTTTTCCAAATAATGTTTTAACAGTTTGCTTTAGATCAATTGCAAAATCTTGTATATCCTTTTTTTTTTTTTACTTTGGTGGAAACAGTTATTTAATTTTAACGTCTTTTATAATATACATATTGTACACAATAAAAAAATTATATGTAATAAAAAAATACATAATACATATTTTCTATTTGAAAATATGTCGCTGCCTTTTATATTTCACAAAGCTTTGATTTGAATTATTGGAGTTGGTTTCTAGCCTGTTGAACAAACAGCTAGTGTGGATTTGGGTGAGCTACCAGACCATCCTGATCAAGGGCCCTACTGGAAAAATTAGATCATACCAGTTTAAGGTGGTCAAGCTGTTTTTTACGACATAGTAGCTAGTTTATTGCTGTTCCAAGGTCAGCCTGATCCCCACCAGTTGGCCACCTAAAGCAGCTTGGACCAGCTGCCATGTTCCAGAACACAGCTAAGCTAGTTTTAGCTGAATTCTTAAGCAGAGACATGGAGCAAAGAGGTGCCGTCTTTCTTTTTTTTCTCTTTCCCTTTGGGTCCTTCCCACCCAACATGGAGACAGAGGACGGGTATGGAATCACAGATTTCAAATTTCTCTGAAAAATACGCTGAGAACCCCTCAGGACGAGTCTCATGGGGGGGGACACTCTCGCTCTCTCTCACTCACACACACACACACACACTCCTCGCTTTTTCAGATTGTGCAGCGGAGGGTAGAGGGCAGTCACACCTCCACGCCGAGTGTCTCTGAATGAGCCAGAAGAGGAGAAGAAAGAGAGAGACCTCCACACTATGTCCTCGTCCCTAATGAGCAAATCAATGAATCTGTCTCATTGAAGGAAGCGGGAGAGAGGGGCACTCACAGGACCCAGAGGACCAGGCCAAAACGCTCTCTCATATGCATGTACTGCTGCTCATGAATAGAGGCTTTATTTTGACTTAGCACAACAATATCCTGCAGCCCGTAGCCCCTCAATGAGGCAGACTCGCATTAATTCAGCTCTCTGACCCACCTGTTTGACTACCAGCATGCCGCTGGCCATGACTATTCGTTTTTTTTTTTTGTTTGGCTTTTGATCAAAATGTGGTCATAAGGGAATTCTCTGAGTCTGGAATCTGTTTTTGAGGAGGAAAACAACATAACATGTGATGCGATATTGGTAATTTATTCATGTTTGTGTGTGCAAATGGGTTTCAGAAGCAGCAGATCTCTTTTAAAAACAATATCACGGTAGAATGCACCTGATGGAAGGAAAATGGGAGTTGGAACGGGTGGGCGTGGCTGTGGGGGGGAGTGCGGCCAATCCTCCTCTCTTCCTCTCTCTTTCTTTCTCTATGGCGAGGCCAGAGGGGAGGGGTGACAGACATTTGTTTTGGGAACATTTTCACGCATTGGCTCACTCTATTGAATGAGAGGGGCTGGTGGATGTGCTCTGTGTGTGAGGACTGGCGGGGGCCGCAGTCGGAGGGGGTTCTGTCAAAACCCCAAAAATTTGTAGCAATTCGCGCTTTCATAATGGAGTTAAATGAAGCGAGGAAATGTCCGACTGGCCATGGCACTGCACAGTAACCTGGGGTCTGCTTAACAGTCGAGCCTCTCACACACATACTCAAAACCATACTGGTTGAGCTTCTCAGACTTTCACAATAATTGTGGTCTAAATACAGTAGAGAAGCTCACAGCATTTGAGTCGAGCAAAAATTGAACGGTGCTGAACTTTGACTCCAAGTATTTCGTATTCATTTAAGAAATTGTTTAATTGGTTACTCAGTCATATTATTCCAAACCTGTATTTATTTTTGTCTATACACCACAAAAAAGATGTTTTAAGATGTCATATTAGAATGATTTCTGAAAGATCATGTGACACTGAAGAATAGAGTAATGACTGCTGGAAATTCAGCTTTGCATCACATGGATAAATTACATTTTAAAATGTATTCAAATAGAAAACTTTTTTAATATTAATATTTCACAATATTACTGTTTTTACTGTATTTTTAAACAAGTAAATACAGCTTTGATGATCATAAGAGACTTCCTTCAAAAACAAATCTCACCGGCCCAAACTTTTGAACAGTGTAGATTGCAAATTAGTCTTTAAATACCAGAATTTTGAAAGACCTGTCTGTTTAAATTTTGGTGTCACATGATCCTGTGTTTTGCCATATTTATATTGTCGTCTTTTTCATTCTCTCATCGCATTTTTGATTATTACAGATTTTTCCCCTCTTTAAAACAGCTGCTGTGAGATATTATCACATTCTCAGATTTCTAGATGACTATGACAGAATTGTGTGCCAGACTAGTCAAACTAATAGAGATATTAAGTGATGAACTCCATCTCCATGGCATATGGTTTAGATACACATTCTTCTCTCTTCTCCTTTTCATTTGTGGTCTTTTCCCTGGTCTCCGCCCTTAAGCCCAATAACTCACATCTTTCAGTTCTTTAAATAGTTAAATCTAGTCCTTTTGCACTGATCTGTTTTTTGTACAGTCTTAAACTCATTTTGTGTAATAGAAAGTCTGATCTGTGATCAGTTGTTTCTGCTATGAGACACTGGGGGTTGATCAAGGTGGGAAACAGCATCTGATTTACAAGCCATTCTGGCTGAAGTCATGGGAACTGTTGAAGTCTCTCTCTTACCTCCAGCACTAACGCTCTTCCTCTCTCATTCCTGCCTGGGGTTGTCCTCGGAGTAATTATGTGTTAAGCCCAGGTTGTGGCTTCGCATGACAAGATAGCGGGGCTTCTCTGTTTAGATGTTTTGAAAACCTTGGCAGTATGTTTGCTAAAGCAGGGGCTTAACTGTTTTTACATGCCCTCATCTCACAGCTGTTCTTGTTGATAGTAGGCTATTAATCTTTTTATCAAAATATACTATAATCTAAAACTGTGTTTTTTTTAGCTGGTGGGCAGGTGTAGATAAAAGAGAAAATATTTCCAATATCTTAAAATATAAAATATTGAATGCCATTTTTAATATAATTGTAATTTATTTGTTTGGTTATAATTGACATGTTTATTTATTATTTGATTTATTTTTATAAAATCAATAAAATGTCAATATTTTTATGTTTTATCTTAAATATTGTTAACTAGACTTTTTAGTTATTTATTTTTTATTTAAATACATTAAATTAAAAATTACTTTATACATTTTGTGTTGGTTTGCTTGCTAATTATTTAAGAATAGTATTATATAATAAAAAAAAAAACAATAGAGAGTTTTCAATAGTGGTCTGACCTTTGAACCCCACTATGTATATGAAAAAGTGGCCCAAAGCTGGCTTATTTATTCTCTAAGACTGATCTTGGAACAAACCATTTGCAGTGATCCAGTGTATGAGACTGTAGAAAGGACTGATTGGGTCAGTTCACTGCTGCTTTCATGAGACATCGCTCTCTCTCGGGTAATTTCAAGCACTGAGAGGCCCCACAGAAAACAACAGCCATCGATCAACCTAAATTAAAATCCGCTAGGAGCAGAGTTAAGCGCACACAAAGTGGGGAATATATGATTAATGATGGTATATATTTACCTTTTAGTCACACATTTATGTAGTAATGATTATCATATGGCCTGTCATTGCCCTTTTAATATGTTACCATTTACTTTAGGACGACTTGGGAAGCATATAGTTACTTTTTTTTTTCTTTACACTATTTAAAAGACTTTTTGAATAATAATAATAATAATAATAATAATAATAATAACATTTAATTTAATAATTTAATTGTGTTTTTTATTTATGTATTTATAAATCTCAATTAAACTATTATTATTATTGTACTTACATTTATTTTAATGATGTGCTTTATATAATAGGGTAACATGCCAAATTTTGTTTTATTCACATTGAGTCGTTTACCATTGCATTGTCTTTTTGTCTTTCAGATCTGGTTTGCATTTGTGAATGGCTTCTCCGGTCAGATTCTGTTCGAGCGCTGGTGCATCGGCCTGTACAATGTGGTAAGAGTATTTGCATTCACACCTCTGTCTGGGTGTGTGATTTACTCTCCCCTCTTCATTACTCTGAGAGGAAATGTGTTAAAACGCCTCCCCTGTCGCGCTCAGGCAAGAAACTCATTAGTTGCGGCACCCCAGCCGGCTCCTTTACTGCGGCCCATGTCAGCGCCATCCTGAAAAATCTCCCTCTTATTTATGACCGCTTGTCAAGTCCGTATTCCATCCGTGCCCAGAACTATGTCCTGAATGTGCTGCAACAACAGACGCTCATGCCCCAAAGAGTTACGTTAAACAGGTCAGCGGTGGATGATAAAGGAACAGGTTGAATCCAGACACATTTAAATACACACACACACAGCCGTTTGGGTGGAGTCCTGTGAACTGGGCTGCCTTAGGGCTTGGTGATAGGAATTGATGCTGTTAATTAACATGTTTTCAACAGGAAGGAAAGTTATTCAGGAAAAAAAAATGCTGTAGGTGGAGTACGTTTTTCCATTTTGCATAAACAAACGAAGATACGAAGGAAAAATGACTAAGCCACCCGACTCGCTGATTGTCCCGAGAAATTATTTCTTTACGCCTGAACAAAGAACAAATGAACACGGCTTCCCATCAGCCCTGTGTAATGGATCATTGGTGTTGTGAGGCCAGTAACAACTCGGCCTGGTGCATTCTCTCTTTATCTGAGAGAGGAGGAATTCCATCGCGTCAGAGGGGGTCTGTTGGATGCAACGGGCCGAAACCACCCCTGAATGGAAAAGGCCAGCCGACCATGTCAGCCGCTCCAGCTGGGCCAGTGAGAGACACTTACGACTGACCCCGCAACCCTCTCTGGACCATAATACCACCCCTCTCGCTTTCAACAGCTGCTGCACGGAGAAACGTTAGAGCTCTGCGGAAAAATTAAAGCATCCAGGAGATCTGCTAACAAGCTGCAGGCACAGTGGCAGATGTTAGTTTTTTAATCATTTTTGCAGGGAGAGAGTGCAAATATGATAAATGCCAGAAGTTACATGCTCATTGAGCTACACCAAGCAAGCAAATGAAAACGGCAGGCAAGGGGAGCATGTCTGGTGCTCAGGATAGAAAGTAGTTGTTTAGACTGCTATGTATTTTTAGGTATCTATTTTTCTTTATTTTTCTTTTCAGTGTTTATTAGTGCTGCCCTCGACTAAAGATTTTTCTGGTCAACTAGTAGTCATTCATTTTAAGCATTAGTCGACTAATCGCACGTTTATTAATAAACCATTTAAATCATAATAATGAGCCTTTAATTGCCTACATACTCTAATAAGCACTCAAGCACATGCATAAAGCTTGCCACAGCACACCAGCATTTATTGATAAACTAGTGCTTTCTTTGTTTTCGGTTTAAGAGATGAATTCGGCGACACTGACTCGTCATCTCCGCATTAGTGGATGCACCTGTATGTTTCATACGGATTACATAATCTATTTGAATTGGTTCATTTGAACGTGAACATTTCACTCTCTATAGATATATTTTCCATGTCTGTAAGGCAAGTATACACAGAGTTTTGTGCTCAAGTTCACAGAGGCCGAGGCGGCAATCGCATCCTGTTTTCTTTCATTATTTTACAAAAGCGCAATGTTTTGTAGTTATTGTGAGTGCACACAAATAAACGCAGAGTATTTACAGATTTGAAAGATGCATTACTCTTATCTGCATGACCAAAAATGAGCCTCCATCTGTCATGCAGTGAGCGCACTGCTATTCAGTTTTCACACTTTGCACAGACGCTTCAATAGCGCACATTTTTCTAGGGAAACATTAGATTGAGCAGTCATGTAAAGTTGCTGCTACTAACATATTTCAGATTATTTGAGGTCGATGAATGATAGGCGAGCGTTTGAATGTCCTGTCCAATGTACTGTATTACCACAAAGACCAGTCGTTAACGATCTGTCTGTCACGGACTCACCACTCGTTGTGGATTTTTACTTTTTTTTTTTTGGTCAACCAAGCCTCTTTTCATCGACTCTTCTAGGCAACCCTATCAGTTTATCATTTCAGTTCATCACAAATTAGTTTCTGTAATGAGAACTAGGATAATATCTTGTAATAATATCTTGTAAAAAAAAAACATTGCTGTGGGGCCTAAATATCTGAAACTACTAGTGAAGTACTAGTACAGGTGCTTCTGTTTTGCATTTTTATAATTTAGTATGAGTTTTCATGATAAATTATAGTGTCTGTGCAACAGTTTGACTTTTAGCTTAATTTTCTGTGATTTAAACTAAAAACTGTGTAATTTTTTGTTTTTCCTTTTTCGTTTATTAGATCTTCACTGCTTTGCCTCCTCTGACTCTGGGCATCTTCGAACGCTCCTGCAGGAAAGAGAACATGCTCAAGTACCCTGAACTCTACAAAACCTCCCAGAATGCAATGGGCTTCAACACCAAGGTAAATACACTCAAACATGCCATATAAATCTAAGTTAGCTGAATCTCCATCAGTGTTTGGGCTGCAGAGATGAACAGCCCACTGATTGAGGCAGATGAAACACATATTTATTATTCTAACGTATTAAAAATTCTTAAAACATATGCCATAAGGTAATGAATCTCTTGTAAATAAATGTATAAATAATAAACTAGTGATTTAGTTCATTTCCATTGATGATGACCCTGTAGACAGGTCATGCTGTGTACACTTTACTGACCTGTGTTTGGTGAACAGTTTAGCACCAAGGCTAAAAACCCCACTGAACAAACAGATCCTGTTACGACTCCCTACACTGTAAAAAGGCAAGTCAACAGCAAGACCTTGTTGGTTTAGCCGTCCATTAAACTGTCCCTCTCTGTCAGCTTTTCTGCTTATCTGAGATGTCTTTGAGTGTTCATCTCCCTTTTTAGAAGGTCATAAACTCTCTTAAGCCAGTACCAATGTCAAACTTTGTTCACAATGTCTAATATGTATAAATATAAACCACTCCTAATTTAGTCTTTTAAAATTGTGCACTCAGAGTCTAATATATGAACGTTTGTATGAAGTTTTTTGACTTTCCTACTTTTTATATGTACATTTACTTGGTTTTTAAAGCATTATTTAAAATAATAATGTTTGTTAATGTTATTAATAAAAGTTAGAATCAAGTTTGTCTTTAATCTTAAGGACGCATACCCAGTTTTAGATGCTACGATGCTCGATATGTCCTAGTAAAATTATGATAGCTTTCAGATACCTTAATAGTGGAATATAGGACAAGCATATTTCTATCCTCTCTAGGTGTCTGCGACCACTGGCTTTGCGTCTCTCTGTGTTAATAAAGCTGTCTCGTCTCCAGCTCCGGCGTGTCTGCGCTGGTGTCACCTCACAGCCCTGCTCCACAGCCGTGGAGACCCATTTACCACCACACTGACACGGATTACAGACAACACAACCCCTGGGGTCAGGAGGGAGACACAGATTTACTGGCCATTTGTAACACAAACACATAATTCTTACTTTAATTGTTCAATGCAACAAAAAAAAAAAAAAGCTTTAATGGGGAAGAGGAAGAGTATAATATACAATAAAATAAAGCGTGGAAGTAGGGAAATGCAGTAGAATAATCAGTAACAGAAGAGTATTTTATTGGAAAAGGGTGAATTGTATATTATTAGAAATCATAATAGGCTGCTTTCTGTTATTTCTCTATAATGAAGTAATGAGAGTGATATATTTGCTTGGAACTAGACATGTGCCGGTATTAGGTAATGCCATATATCACGGTAATGAATATGCACGATATTGTTATCGTGGGCACTTCCAAATACCATGAATAATTACTTATTACAAATTATTCAGATTTTTTGAATGCATTTTAAGAATATTTTCCACATCAACTGGTCACAATGCACAACACCGCTGTATGCTGCGTCAAAGATGCATGCTCACTCTCATGTAAACAAGCAGGGATGAGAAGCGCATGGCGGAACACGTGAAGGAGACACGCTGAATGAAAGCGCACATTCACTCTCTGACAGCAGATGGCGCTGAACAGCAGAAATGCTGCCTTTACCCCTGAAACCCCATAAACAAAGCAGCTAGCTGCTTTCTAAAAACTTATTTCAATGGTTTAAACCATAGATGCATATCTATGGTTTAAACTGCCAATCAGATTTTCGTATTCGCAGTGGTGTTCATCACAGCACCAAAAACTTAAATATTTAGACTTCATAGGCTTTTTTTTTTTTTTTTACATTTTAATCTGGACTACAACATGCCCTAGATATTGTTTGAAAATTTTTTGATTCTTTTTTGTTTGGTCACACACTCTAAAAAATGCTGGGTTGTTTCAACCCAACTTTGGATCAAATATGGACTAACCCAACCGTTGGGTTAAATTTGTACATTAAATTTTTAACCCAAAAGTTGGGATAGTCCATATTTGACCCACACTTTAGGCTCCATTAAGGCTCTATTAATTAACATTAGTTCATTCATTAGTTAACATAAACTGCCAATAGGTTGTTTGCACATGACGTCATTGATGACGTGCGAAATGCAGCTGGATGTTAGTGATTTCTATGGAGAGAAAAATCACTTCCTGCCCTCCAGCTGCATTTCGCGCGTCATCAGAATCACGTGATTGCAAACCACCTATGAAAAGGTTTCTTACGTAATTTCAATATTTAATAACATGTTGTTAAAATCAAAAGGTGCAATTGTGTTATTTAATGAACTAACAGTTGTATTGTTTAACAAAGATTATTAACTAGCAAATGTAGTTATTGCTCATTATTAATTGTTAATGCATTAACTAAGGTTAACTAATGAGATAACATTGTAAAGTGTTACTTATTGGTCTTTATATGAAATGTTAAAATGTATACATTTTTTGTGTATTACTTTATTGTATGTAAATGTTCAGTTCTTTTTGTTATAAGAAAAAGGTATTAAACCTGTTATAGTTTATGATAACACTTTTTTTGCAACTAAATTTTAATGCCGTGATATACTGTATACTGTCATAAAAGCATTTGCAATTAATCGCAACATGGAAATTTCATACCGTCATATGCCTACTTGGAACAAAGACGGAGTTAATGGATATATAGAGGAAGGTAATGAGAGCATCTGTTGCATACTGTAGCATTGTCCAATTTGTGAACCCAAGATTCTTTTGAGTCAGAATGTGTTTTTTTTTTTTTTTAAAGAATTGGTTAAATTGATTCACAGAACCCTTAAACGATCTTATGACTTGGTTAAACTCATTTACCAAAATAGTCTATTTGTGTGCAACTCCTTAAATATCCTGATATTTGCATTAATTTCAGTATTGTTTAATGTAAATTATATGTTCCTATATAAGAATACATGTATGCTGAATCATGGCTGATTCTAACGTGATCTGAAGTGTTCATGTAGATGTTATTGGAGACTTTTTATTTGATGATCGAACCAGCTGTACATGTGCCGCATCCCTGTTTCAGACTACTACACGTCATCTGTGTACAGAACAGACACTTTATTTGTAAATAAAGCAGAGAGAAAGATCATGCATTAGATTGGGGAGAAGCAAAGAGAGTGAAATATTTAGGTCTTTACCCACCATGTCCCCTTTCACATTTAATTACATAGCTTTGACACTAAAGTCTCCCTAATAACGACAAAGCCTCTCGTAGACCCCAGGATAGCGGTTATTGCACTCATTCAACACACGGCAGCCTCCATCCCTCCCTCCTTCTGCCTCTTTCTCTCTTTCATTCTCTCCCTTTCTGGCTTTATTTGTTGCTCAGCATAGTTGGAGAAGGCTTATTAGAGCGTCTGGCAATAGTTGGCACAAAATAAAGTTTATCCTTCCATGCTAGTTTAAGCAATTAAGCTGTCACACAGAATGCAGTGCTTTGCTTCAGGCAGGACAGACGGCCATTCACACCTACATTCTTAGCAACCTGCTCAGAAACTGAGGAGTTCAGGGCCTCCCTGTGACAAATGATTATGAACGTTTATCGATTTCATTAGCATTCATTGCAGGACTGTGCGTGTAAAGCACCAGGCAAGGGTGAGAGCAGGTTGTTTCACATGGCACTTGGATCATGTTGTGTTTTAGGTGGTTGTGTTTTATTGCCTACTATGTCAAAATCTCAAGTCAAATCACTGTAGAATGGATTCATGTCCATAGCTTAGTGCGGGATGTGTTATGAAAATTTTGAAAACTTTAATAATGTAATACTTGTACACAATTTTTGAATGCTTAGGCTTATATATTTGAATAAACCCCAAACCTTAAGTATGAATTTAATTCCAAAGATTAGGAGGGGTGAGCTATAGTGCCCTTCAGAGGTGTAGGATGAGCTGGCTGTCTGAGGGCCGGAGCCCTGAGCTTTGTTTTGTTTTGCTTTGCCGATAGCGGAGGTGAGAGGGTCAGGGCAGAGATGCCGAGAGGTCGTACAGGGCCTCTGTGAAACAACACAGAACAAGACAATCTCAGGGTATTCCTCTTTTCTCCCACTCTCTCATTCTCCTCTCATTTCTCTGCATCCCATCCCCCTCAAGAGATTTCATAGCTGCCACAAAAACTTGTGGCAGTTGTATTGGCTGAAAACAACCGAGTGATTCAACATTTACAAATTGAGGATCATTTATCCACCTTTTTCCTAACAAGCCTACTGCGTTTAAAATTATTGGAGGCACTTCCGTTTTGGGGAAGTTCCTCTCAGAAAGACTGCAACAAATAATTTCAAATCATAAGATTGTGCTACAAATAATCCTTATCCGTCATTTTGACTGAATGGGCTGTAAATTTTCATTCATTTTCTATTTTCAGAAGGCAGGGGAATAACGTTAAGGGGGAATAGCTCTTTTCAGCCGCTGCAGTCTTTTCCTCCTGATTATTTTCATGTTTCCTTTGTATTCCGCTGTAAGTAAATGAAAAAGACAACATATACTGTGCGTTTGTGGTCTGCTCTACCAATTTAATTTATGGTAAACCGTGAATATTTCCATGGAATGCACTAAGTTTCTCCCCAAATCCTCATGTCTCTTTCCAGGTTTGTTTTCACATGGATGCTGTAAAATGTAATTGTTACAAAATATAGACATGTATTACTATAATGATATCTTACTAATCTGTAATATTGCTGCGGATAGAAGCAGGATCTTTAGGAGTTATTCATGGTATGTTGAAAGTAATTTAATGCTTTTACACTTTTAAATTGCCTTTTAATGATCGATGGTTGAAGGTGGGTGAGTAAAGTAATGTCACCTCGTAATACCCAGTTTTTGAAAATGCTTATTGCGTTCATAGAGTGAACCTTTTGCTGATTGTTTACTGTGTAAACAGAAGTTACTCCCATAATTTGCGAAAAGCATCATAGGGCGTAGGAAAAAGATGGATAGATTCTAGCCCTTTCTGTCAGATGCTAGTATTGGAAAGTTATTCATTTTTGGGTCTGTAAGATTTATTTATTTTATTTTATTTATTTATTTAAAATGCATTTATCCAGGTAATATGCATTAAATTAATCAAAAGTGAAACGGAAAACTGTTTCAGTTCCAGTTTTGCAATAATGGGAATAAATGACATTTAAAAATATATTAAAATAGAAAACAGTAAAACAGTTTTAAATTGTAGTAATAATTCACAATATTACTGACCCCAAACTTTTGAACAGAAGTGTGGGTGTGATCATTTATTCATTTGCATGACTTTAAGGGTTCCCATACGTTCACAGCACTTTTCATTTAACATTTGTTGTAAAATACATATTTTATTAAAAACTGCTTCTCACTTACAGTAATTTAAAAAAAAAAAAAATTGTTGATAATTGAATAAAGAATTTAAGTCTTTTTCCTCACATGAAACTGTTATATGAATTTATTGCAATTAAATCCTTATTGATAGAAATAAAACAGTTTTTGAGAAAAATTACCTTAGAAGCTGACAATTACATTTCTGTGGTGATCTATTCCTTTAAGCACTTTGTGAATCCGTTTAAATTGAATGACTCATTAAAAATAACCAGTTCAAAAGAATGATTCATTCACAAAATGGACCTCTCTAGCAGACACTACAAATATGGTTCATTCTAATAACATTTTTGTTCATATGGAGAAATTAGTATTTATTTATTTTAGTGAATTAATTAAAAAAAATTGACATTTTAATACTGTTTTTAATACTGTTGACTGCCTCGCAGCACAAATATTATGCTGTTTTACTTATAAATATGGAAATAATCTGTTGTGTCTGTGGGCAGTGAACGGTCTTAGACTTTGCAGAGGTGAAAAGAGCAACACCAAAAAAAAAGCGGGGTTTGGAAACTGGACCTGTGACGGGCCTGATTTCATTTCACGGCTGTTTCATGCTACATCGCCCATTAGTGTTTTGATTGGCCACGTCCATGCATAATGTAAATTCAAAACAAGGCGGTTTTGGAGGAGGATATTTGTTTAAATGGCACATCCAAAGTCCACATGCCCATGTATACAGTCACAGACACTCAAAAGACTTTATTCCGTACCTGTGTAAGCGATAGTTTTTCCATGCTCCCAAATAACCATGCACTGTAGCGACAGACTCATACATCTTAATTTCTTAAACTTGTCTGTGTTTGTACTAAAAGTATCCATGAAGGATTTGGGGTTTTTTCACAACTCACAAAGGAACGATTGGGGAAATTCGATGAGGCAACTAACTGCAGGGAAAAGAGAAGGGATGGCGGAAAAACACCCCTTACTGACATCTCTCATATAGTTGGCGTGCCTCCCCTCTCCCTCTTTCTTGCTCTCTCCTCACTCACAGGATATACAAAGTGTCTGTCAGCAGGGTGGCCATTGAGCAGGGAGGCCTGACAAACATTCCACTTAGCCTAGCGCTGAGAACGCATAAAGGCCTGGGGTCAGGGGTCACCGGCAGGGTTAGGGTGGCCACTGTCTTTCTCATGCCTCTCTCCTCTCTCTTTTTTTTCCTCCACCCCTCCTCCACTCTCCTGCAGGTCTTCTGGGCTCATTGTCTGAACGGCCTGTTTCACTCAGTCATCCTCTTCTGGTTTCCCCTCAAGGCCTTCCAGCACGGTAAGCACACATACACACGCTCTCTCACACTGCGTTCAGTTTTGTTTTTTGAGGTCAGTGGGTGTCATATTGAAAGACGGGTCTGCTCTCGCTTCAGCTTAATTGCTTCTCATTGGCCACCATGAATATCTGTAGATCACTCACTCATATACACACACTTGCACACACATTCTCTCCTTTTCTCCATTTCCACATACTCATTTAAAGCAATAGTTCATGCAAAAGTGAAAATTGTCATCATTTATCATGCCGTTCCAATCCTATATGAGTTTCTTCCATTAAACACAAAAGCAGTAGTTTTGAAAAATATCCTTTTTACTTTTAATATACTGTAATGAAAGCGAATGAGGACTGTGGCTGTCAAGCTTCAAAAGATATACAGTTGCACTATAAAAGCATAAAAAAATCTATACGACTTGTGTACTAAGTCTTAAGTCATATGATTTCTTTGTGTGACGAAATGGGCCTAATTTTAATTTAATATTTAATTAATTTAGTGGTTCACTGATAATCTTTGTAAATGGATTATTTGGATTTAGTGAGGTAAACTTTATGAATGAATCGTTCATACAGGTTTTGTGAACGTGATCCACTGAATTATAAAGATTGAGCTCAAAATGATTCACAAGTCACTTTTTCTCAGTCAATAAATTTTAAAACAAATTTTAGACAATAACGACTTAAATTTTAGGCTTTTCCTCACGCAAATCTATCAACAGATCTACACTTCCATAGCGTTTTTTGTAGCTTGACACTAAATAATGACAATTTTCATTCTTAGGTTAACATTTTGGTATAGTTTAATAAATTGCTCTGTGGTCTATAAGTTGCTCTTTACATGTATTCGTAAGTGTAAGCATGTACAAAGGATTGTGTCAAGCATGTGAACAGATTTCGTGTGTGTGTGTGTCAGTACAAATATCTGGCTGACTGCAGGACCACACAGTCAGAATCAGACCTGCTTTTTAAACAAAGCACTGGTGACTCTCTCTGACTGACAGCCTGTCAGCACCACACACACACACACACTGAAACACACATACCTTCCTGATCCACATGTGGTGTCCGTTGTGTTTCGCCGTGCCAGAGCGCTGATGGTTTTGGATCATCCGCTCTCACTTACAATCGGAGAATGACTAATACTCCTCCACTAAACCACACTGCCATGTGTGCACTTTTGTATGGGGCTTTCCCAGATTTTAAGCCAGAACTTGTACTATTTAATCGGAGATGTTTGCTGAAGCAATTAGCACAAGCCAATAGCTATCATCCTGAAAAGTCAAGAAAACCCAGATTGTCTCAACAGTCAATTAATCCTTAATGATTTGGGGAGATCTCTTTTCCAAAGCTCTCTGTACAGCTGTCAACAGCTCCTTTTACACCCACTGTTACCTTTTATTCACATGACCATTGGAGCACAGGTGTGTCATAAGAGGAGAACAAGTTCATTACAAGCTTGTTGGTTCAGATTAAACAAGCATAAAAGCTTTTTTGGCCTTTTTCCACTTTGAGGATGGGAAATGGGGAGAAAAGGTAGAAATCCGTAAAGAGGTCAGATTCAAACTTGCATAACCCACATGAGCACCACAGCTCCACTAAGCCCATGGCTCTCTCCCTAACAGGACAGCCTAGAGAATGTTTTTTTTTTTTAAATCAGCCCTGTCAACAGCATTTGTGGAGAAATATTTTGGATTTAATACCTAATTTTGTTCCTCTAATAAAAACAACATCAAAGTTGCAGATGTTAAATATCCTGAATTTAAATATCCTGAGTCAAAAGCATATATCAAGTTGTCTAAATGGTCATTTTTTCAGTGAGACTGCGTTTTACCATCATGTATGTAAACAGTACTTTTCTGGTATTCTTGTCTGTTTAATGTGAGCATTTGATCCCTCTTGAGCTCAACATCTTAATGGAGTGTCTACAACCGTCCCACTGACCTGTGTTAGCATGTGATCCTTCACTCTAAAAGCCTTCTTGTTGATTCTCCTCACAGATACCGTCTTTGGAAACGGAAAGACACCAGACTATCTCCTCTTAGGCAACATGGTTTATACAGTAAGTGCATTTGGGCCCTCAGATCCTCACAAAGCGTCTCTGTGTCCTCCCCGTCGCCTGACACTTTGTCCCGGTTGTCCTGCTGTGAAATGTTCCTTCTGTGCCGAGTCTGGCCTCACTGAGGATTTTCGCTCCCTTTTTTTGCCAACTTTTTAAGCACTGAAATGAAAATCAAGCTGACCTGCTCTATTTCAAAATGTACTTCAAACAGAAACTGTTTGGAGGTTCCTGTCTGCCGACTGTCTCCCATTAGATCTTACGTCTGTACAATCTAATGTGTTTATGTGTACATGCGACCTCCGATAAGAACCTGTCTCTCTCACAGTTTGTGGTGATCACGGTGTGTCTGAAGGCTGGGCTGGAGACATCGTCCTGGACCATGGTGAGCGTTTGGATGACTCTTTCCATCCCTCTATCTCTTTTCTCTCCCATTCCACTGTGTCCTCCTATTTCCTTTGACTTTATTGTCCCTCTATCAGTAGAAACACGCTCCTCCACCCCCTCTCACTCCTCTCACTTACCCTTTTCTTCTGCCGCTGATGTCATGGAAAAGTTCAGAGCATTCAAAGATGATGTCATGGTTGCATCGCTAATCAAAGCACTTATTCACATATGCAATTATAGTGAACTGTTGCTTACATTTTATTACTATTAGAAATTGTATTACTATTATGGTGATTGCAAGGCAGATGCTCAGCATTTAAAATGTGATCAACAGTTATGTCAGTGTAATTTAAAGGGGTCATATGATGCTGCTAAAAAGAACATTATTTTGTGTATTTGGTGTAATGAAATGTGTTTATGCGGTTTAAGGTTCAAAAAACACATTATTTTCCACAAACTGTACATTATTGTTTCTCCTCTATGCCCTGCCTTTCTAAAACGCGTCGATTTTTACAAAGCTCATCGGTCTGAAAAGCGAGGTGTGCTCTGATTGGCCAGCTATCCAGTGCG